CACGTACCAAACTTGAGATTCAAATAAAGGAGATTTTGCTGCTGTGAAGGAAGGGATGTATGGAAATGGGATTCATGACATCTATTTTGGTATGAAATTGCCTAGAAGAGAGCTGGTTTTTTAGTCTGACATTCACAGCAGCCAATATCCTGCTTTCTCAGATACTTAACCTAGCCAGCGAGAAGGGACAAGACAATGTGTGAAACTTCAGGCAGTCAATAAACACAGCTTAAGAGTCCCTTAGCCTGAAATAAGTGCCTTAACATAACCTGCAAGGATACACAGAAGTTGGTCGATAGCTGGGGTCTAGTGTACAAATGCTGGCCTGACAGGGGTAATGGGCAAACTTAGAGTGGTTCTAAGCCTTACTCAGCTTGAGGGCTTAAACACCAGCCCCTGGCAAGGAAGGCTGAAATGGGGTCCTGGACTGTGGATAGGGTTGTGGTATATTTCTCTTGAATATTACTCTAGTCTTCTCTTGATTTCTCTTCACTAATACAAAACATGATTTTATCCTGAACTATATAATGAGAATTTACTGAAATGTGGTAACATGTAGATATATGTAATAGTCTAAAAACATACAGCAAAAATTGAAAAGATGAAATTACCTGGAGAACTGGGGCAGTTAATATAAGCAGATGTGTTGGATATTAATGAATAACTTTCTGGAAGCTGTTGTGCATTTGGTTGTAAATGTGCCATAATGCATTTGCTGCAATGGTGGTGTTCTGTGATACAAAATTACTATTAAAAAAAAAAATCAAGGAAAGAATCTTGCCAAACTGTTATTTGTTTTTAATAATTTTGTATATCCGGAACTAAAAAACACAGTTTCTGTAAGATTCAGTAGGTAACTACTGAGAGAGAAGTACCTTGTGCCATTTACAGGTTCAGCCCTCAAGTAATAGGAAGCACTTCTATTATTCCAAGCTCTGGAGGCATCTATGCGGTCTCCTTTCATCTATAGGCAAGTTTGAAAACATTTGCCTATATATATATGCATATATTGACAAGTTAGTCTTGTGTGATAGCCCCAGATCTTGGAATTAAGTGCTTTATTTCTTTTCTGTATATACTCATTTCTGTCTTTTTTGGAGTGAATTGTGTTGTTGCATTGGTGATAAACACTGAACAGCAAGCAAACTTGTGAAGATCTCAAAAGAACTAAAGTACATCAACACTGCTATGTGGAAAATGACTCTGCGAAAGTTCAAACTGAAAAAGCATGCAGCCTTCCAGAATGATCCATGCTGAAGATAAAGATGACCCTTGCTATAGGTCATGGTGTCACAGGAGTTTGTTTTTCAGTTTTCCACACTTGCAGAACTGTTCACTACCCAAATTGAACAAAGTATGGTGACCTGAATGCGCTAAATTAGTTGAGCCTTCAGACTGATTATAAACTTTCAAAGGAGCGGATGTGGCATGTCAGAAAGTGCATTGATCTTGGATTTCATTTGCAGCGTAAACTAGTGTTTCAACAGCAGATCTGGGAGCAGCCCTGAAGCACTACATTGCTTCCAGGAAAAGTAAGGTAAACATAGCAGAAAAAGATATCTGACAACATGAGCAGTGGAGCTTTTGTGCTGTGAGAGGCACTTTGTTCCTCAAATCTATCACAGTGATGGGGTCATGATATGGATCTGCTCTATGCCACAGACATAACTTCCTCATTCAGCATAAGTCAAGGTATCAAAAATGCACCACAAGATAAATTCCACATAAAGTCCAGTTTCTTACATATAATTATAAAAGCAGGAAAGATAAAAGAATATGAGAGGGTGGTATCACATGAAATGAATGGAAAAAAAAAAAGATGTAGTTGGCATATTAGATTATCAGTTTCCCAAAAGGATGTAAAAATGAGTGGTTTAAACTAAGTTATTTCTGGGTCATATGTTTTCCAACAGGTATGTTAACAGTACATGAGACAGACTTCTCAAGGAGAAAGCATGGGAAGAATATTGGGTGTGGAGAAGGTAAAGAATTATATCTCTCATGTTAAAGAACAATGAAACATTCTTTTCCCTCTTCTTGTTCAGAAATAAAACCTGCAATCTGGTATCACACAAACCAATATCAAATCAGTATGGTGGGTTAAGTATAGAGTTTCCCAAAATGAACTAATGTATTTTTTTGCATCTCTCTCGACTTCTCTATAAAAGGTTCTTTTTCAAGTGCACTGGTTTTCAAAGCACATACATCTACTTTTTCACTATGATAAAGGTTTGACCACCTGCTCAGTAGAAAAAATATTTTAGAGAGAAAATAGTCATGTATTGTGTGTGATGTTTGTTTGTTTGTTTGTTTTTTTCCAGCTACTTCTCAACTATTTTCTAGTAGATAGAGCAATATGACATTTGATTTGCTGTGTGCCCTGGATCTTGAAGGTAGTTACTGTGAATCATGCTGCGTACGTTCATTCTTGCTGTGCATCTCTTGTTAATAGCATAAAGGTATCATGATAAACCAGGCAATGCATATCACAGAAACTTAATAGATTCAGTAATAGCAGGGTTTCTTAATGAAATCACTATATTCATGGAAATCTCTATAATTCTTCTAAGAGAACTCTGTCATGGATGAAAATTAGGTGAACTGTTATTAATTGAAACAAAGCGAAGGATCACTTTATACCTTTGGAAGCAAATGCTTTGTAAATCCCAATTATTGTAGCAAGGATGGGAAAATCTGATGGAAAGAGATTAAAACTTATTTTATATTTGGAAATAAGTGGCTTTTGAACAGAGTATTGGTCATTAGGACTTTTACATCCTACTTCTCCTGCTTGTGTCATGTAAGACAATTCAGTAGAATATTTCATAATAGTTTAGCATATTTAGAAAAGATGCTACAGGTAGACAAGCTGCCTGATTGAACAGTTATTACTATTGGTTTTCACAGAATTCACAATAGTTCTGTTGTCTGTATTTCAACTTTTCACCCTATGACTAGATTTACTCATACATACAAATCTGCCTGTTGACTTGGCAGACAGCCTACAGCCAAGACAAATTCTCATCTAACTCACTGAAGAGGTACAGAGATAAAGATAACTCTTATCTAAGCACTGGAACTGGAATAGGAAGTTTAACCTGCCATGCGTACCAGGATTTGGAACAGCTGCTTCTGACACTCTGAAAATTAAGTTTTACACGACTGAGGAGAGCCCAGGCGTGTGACAACTGCCCCGCTACTCCTATGTGAGACTGATTGAACAGAATGGTCTTTTGGCCATACTGAGGAATGGTTGTTTTCTTCCACTGGGAAAGATGTGGCATTTTATGTAATGAAAATATTTTGATTTTTTTTTACCCATCTTAGTCAAGCTGCCCCTCTTAGCAGTCAAAGAATACATCCAGCATACAACTTTCCATAATTAAAAAACAAATTACACTTTCCCAGGGGCTGTGCAAGGGCTGGAAGGGAGAATAGAGGTGTACGTTGAACCCTTCAGAGCTAAGCAGAAATGCTGTGAGCCAGTGCTATGCGATTATTACCCCTTGACGCTGCTACTGGAAACCGTCAGATCTACTCCCCTTTGAATTAACAGGATTTGAGGTGTTGACACTTGACTTTTCTGAGCAGGTATTTTGGTGATGGTGTTGGCAGTGTTTGGTTATCCCAGAGTACACCATTTTGCAGAAGCAGTGATTCTGTTACAGAATGGGAGAAACAGTTTCGAGTTTGTTAGTTCTTTGACTGTTCGGACCTAAAGAAAATCAACTCCCTGCTTCTTCTGCTTCATCTGAACAGCCCCTACCATGACCACCCCCAGAGTACAAAGTAGCAACAGGAACTCCAAGAGCTGATACCTCTATCATGCTCTCTTTATGTTCTGCAGAGTCCAGTTTGCTCCATGCAAAGTGACCAGACTCCTCCCTCCAGATTCTGTTAGGTTTATCAACAAATCTAGCAGTGACAAGTAGGAGCCCTGTATGTAGAGCATGAAGAGAAAAACCATCTCTCTTCAGCAATTTTCTGTGACAACTGTTAACTTTAATATATGAAGCAAACACGTGAGAAAATTATTTTGAACAGACATATATTACATTTTTCTTCCTACACCCCCCTACCCCCCCTTTTTTTTTTGGGTGTGAAATAAACTGATGATCAGAATGGAAACATCAGAATGGAAACATAAGGTTTTAAGCTTCTTTTAGCTAAAAAGAGGAAAAAAAGCATCTTAGATTTTCATGAGACCGAACATAAGAAAAGAGAGAGAGCAAAATGCTTGCAGTGCCTTTCTGTAAAACGTTCAAAATTGTAATTGATGATTTTTCAGTTTCTTCTGGAAAAAGACTACTGAACGAGGCAACCACTGTACGTTGTTTTGCTCTCCAAGCCTGCATCTCTAGTAATAGTCCTTTCAGCAGCAGAGTTGAAATCAATTGACACCCATTTCACAACTGTAGCTTGGGGACTTCTCTAATTTTAGATAGCTGGATGAGGGACATGGTTGTGCATTTAATCTACAACAGTTTTCTACGAGAAGGGTTGTTTTTGCAGAAGCTTCATATTGTTTACTTTTTGCTGCTTTTATTCGGTGCCATTTTACATTAAAAAAGCAAATACACGCAAAAACAAACCGATCTATCCCTGTGCTGCTACAGCCAGGGCAACCCCAACGTTTCTGAACTCAACTGCTGACCGCGTGAAGAACCACCGCGAGCAGAACCCAGACCTGCTGCAGGCATTTCGAACACAGCGAGCGCTTACGGAGTGCTGGCTTAAGCATGCAGACATTACGCCAACAGATTTTCCTAGCAACCCCGACGTGCTCGGCTATTGTGCTGCATGTGCTCTCCCTTGCGGTAGGCAGCCCCGAATCCGGGCTGGCTCTCGGCAGTCCCGACGCCGCTGCAGGCGGCCGCGCGGCATTCATGCTGTCGGCGGAGAGCGGACGCGAAGCTGCCGCGGCGCTGCGACGCGGCCGGCAGGCGGCGCCATAACGCGGGGGGCTCGGCGCCCCGCGACCCCGTCCCGCCGCTACTCACCATGTTGACTTCCGACACCACGTCGATGCTGGCGATTTCGATCCGCATGCCCACGTCGACGGGCGGACCTGCGCGGGGGGGAGGAAGGGGAGGAAGCGGGAGCCGGTGTTAGACGGAGATCCGCCGGGCATCGGGCCGGGGAGCTAGAAGTGCGGGCGCCTCACCTCCGAAGTCAGGCCTGAGGCGGATATCGTAGCCGTGCAGCAGCTTATCCACCGTCTCCTTCACGTAGGACATGTTGCTGGGCTCATCGGCGCTGCGGGAAGGAGCAGAGCCAAGTCAGGGAGGCGGCCGCCGCCCCGCGCCCCTCCCCGGCCCGGCAGCGCTCACCTGCGCGCCGCGCACCCCACGGCCAGCACCAAGGACAGCGACAGCGCCCACGGGCCGCCCCGCCTCGCCTCTCTCATCCCGGCCCCGGCCGCGCCTACGCCTCTCGGGGGCCGACTGCAAGTTGGAACGGAGCGGAGCGGAGCAACAATTGCCGGCAGCGCAACGCATGCGCCGAGCGGAGCGCCGTGGGCACCGGTATCCTTGTCAGCCCGCATAACCGCAGGTGCCATTAGTGCTGTCGTTCGGCCGTGAGGGCTGTCACAATGAACGCACCTTTCTTTTCTTCCTCTTTTAATCACCTCCTAGCTCAAGTCAATGGAACTTCGGCGTTGCTGTTGTGAATTCTTAATGTTTTCTAGTCATGATTATTGTATGCTGTAGTTGTGCTAGTGATCAGGTGCGATTGGTGCTGCTGGGCATACAGTACTCAACGTGTATTAAAAGTTTGAAAACATGGTCCTGATAAAGTTACCTGGTTTCTTTTAAACACTAAATTGGGGTTTTCCATGGGACTGGAGTTCCTTTGGTCTTCTCGATGCTTTGCAGCGTTCTGTCTTCTACATAATTCTAACTTTGCCAAAAGCTGTGTGGCGATCAGCTACACCTGCACTAAAAGGAGACCTGCTCTGTCTGGCCTGCTAAAATCTGTCATAAGGTGTGAGCGCAGGGAATTATCCTGTGTAAATTCTCATTTCTGTATGGTTTAAGGCAACTGTACTTCAGAGAGCTGTTCTGCTGGTAGCCTGTCAGTGTGAAGTCTGTTTCTGAAGCTCCTTTTGGGATGGCTGGGATCTAAGCTGGGCTCTGGAAGCAGCTGCAGACACCTCACTGTGCAAAGAGAACGCTGGGAAGGCCCTCAGTGACTGGGGGCTGAGAGCAGGGATTTGTGTGGGGCTCTGAACAACACACCTCAAGAGTGCTGACATTACATGGCCACAGCAGGCAGCAGGAAGGCTCCTTTCTGGCTCATTTGGGGTGGATGATGGCACCATGATGGAACTTATCTTTCAAATGCTTCCAGGGCTGAATTATTATTAACAGCAGAACCTCTATGCTCTCATATACTACCAATTGAAACACTCTGTGGTTTTACAGGATGTGTAAAGAATATTGAGGTTCTGTTTTCTTCGTGAAAGATTTATTTCTAGAAAGAAAATATAGTGTGCTTCTCTAGGTAACCAGTGTAGCAGAATCTTCACTCTCATTTCAGTAAAAAGTTAGACATCCTAGTATCCTTCTGCAGCTCTTTAATACCTGTGACAAAGAACCAGTGGCCTCTAAAATGAGTGACTGTAGCAAAGAGGCTAACTTTCATAGGCCTTATATTATCACAGACATGTTCTAAAAGCTTTCAAAGATGACGAAACACCTGGTGGTCTGATTATGAAACTGAAGCTTCTTCTGCAACCAATAAACTTGATTCAGAAGAGTGTAATGCATGATTCCATATGCTCTAGCTGGATTTTATTCTCCCTCTTGGGCTGAGTGAAACCTGGTGGGTTCCCTGTGTGGCCTTCCAGATTCCTGGAGCTGCCTGAGTGCCTTAAAAGTCAGACACACAGGGATGTATGGCTCTGGTCTGTGTTACTTTGCATTGCTGGAAATCAGGTTGCACTTTAAAACATTGCTGATAATAATTGCAAATTCCTCTCCTGCTCATTTCTACACTGAGCTTAGTATTGACAGGGTCAATGAGAGAGATGCATAGATTTTCAGGAGGAAACCTTTTTTTCTCACAAAGAAAAATGTTTCCAGTTTATTAAGAGTCATTTTATTTCAGTGCTCTTTTTCATTTGGTAATCAGAAAATGCACAGTATAAAAAGCCAATGTATTGCTCAGATAATATCAGCTGCTTAAGAAGAATGTATCATTGAAATCATTGAAAAAAGAAGGAAATCCTTCTTGTTTCTCAGTGGATGCATTCTGTAAAAAGGAAGGCCATTATTTTTAATAAAACTAGGGAAAAAAAACATTACAAAAGTGATGATTATGCATCTCTTTCTAGTGATACTTTATGCCATCTTAAATGTAGAAGGAGGGCAGGTGTGTCCCCATGATACCTGCTCAAAATGGAGAGGGGGAGCTCCATGATTCATTCCTTGCTCTTTGTATGGAGATACAGTCGTTGAAAATTAATATTTGTGCTGCTGACTGGCTTGAGTAATCAGACCCAAGGCTTTACAGAAACAAGATGCTCATAACCCAGGTGGTCTAACTGGACTTGCTGTTTTCCAGTTAGTGGGGAGAATTACTGGGTGAAAGCAGGGCTGGAGGTAAGTGTGCAAGCAGCATCATTAATTAGTAAAATTGCTTTACATTGTCACAGTGTGCACATAAGGCAAAAAAAAAAAAAAAAAAAAAAATCCAACAAACATAAGGCAAAGCAGGCTCTTTGGATTATTCATTATCAGACAGCTGCTTCCCAGTAGGTTGTGGGGCTTGTCATACTGCATATCCCGTATGTCAAAGAAAAATGAGAATTAGGAGGGATAAACATTTTTTCTTACTTGGCATTGAGCAAATGGTCTTTTTCAGTAATTTTACTGATGAAATATATTAGCAATTTAAGATGAAAATTTTAAATTTGTAAAAAATAGGGTAAATGATCAGGTTTGGAAACTATGAAACGAAACCTATAAACTGTGAAATGACTACATGTGCAGGTGAAAAAATATGTATTATCTATACTTAAAAGTGGTAGGTAACAAAATAGGTCGCATATTTAATCTGCTAGAGGTAATGCTATTGTTATTTTATACCTACAGTAATCCAATGCGGCTTGTGAGCAGCCTTCCTGGATGACAGAAAATAGCAAGCTGGAGATAATTCTAGTGTGCTCTGGGGATTTCAGAGCACTAGAAAAACAACCAAGAAGAGCTGTGGAGTGTCACAGTGAACTTGTGCTTTATCCTCAGATCTTCAGACTGTGAACTGTTCTTAGTTTTATAATCAAAGTGAGAAGAATGTATTTAATGAGAACTCTAGGACAAAAATTGTTCTTCCGTATCCATAGTCAAAATAATTTTGTGAATTTTTAGTCACTTCAAATAAACATCTGTAATACTAATTTGAAATTCCTTTGCAGATCTTCCAGCCACACATCTTTACCATTCACCTAACATCCTTAACTCTGCAGAGCTGGCTTCCTCTGGAGGAGCACTAGTCCAGCACTGCATGCCTAATACCAGAACCCCTCCACTGGCAGTGTGTCTGCATGTCCCATTTCATGCTACCTGATTAGTAATTCTGCTAATCTTCTGTTTCTTCATCCAAGGTATGGGAGACTCTTCTTATCTCAAGAATCTGGAGATTAAGGTCTTTGAGACAGGTAATGCAGCGATTAATAGAAAAGAGAATCCTGGCTTCCAGGACAGGTCAGGAAGACATTCAACAAGTGTTGACATGGACATGAAGAAAGTGCAGGCAGCAATTAGCCTGTATACATTTGCATAGTTTAAAGGCTTTGGTGTATTAACTACAAGAAGCCAGCAGTCTTAAGTGTCACCAGGCAATTATAGACAGAACTGCAGAGTTAGGTTTTTAGGAGAAATTTAAAGAACATAGAGAAGAAATATGAGATGTGTTAATGTTATCATTTCTATTGAAATGTATTTCAGGTGCTTTCTTTCATGCAGTTCCCAACAACTGAGGTTTCTGTCAGTGCTGGTGAGATGTCAGAAGCACAGTGGAAGGAGACGTGGTCTGATGTGCAAACTCACATGTAGGAATGGGCAGCTCCCTTGATTCAAATAGGCTAATTCAGGAAGTTCTATGTGTGTTTGTGGGATCAAGACCTTTGCTTCTAAGCTTTTTGGACCTCATACTGTCCTTATAGGTATTTTGTAGAAAAAATGAAACTCTTACTAGAATGGCACAGAGATTATTTTTTCTGATAAATGGAATTAATTTTCTCTAGCTTTGCTTTTGCATCAGCATATGAAGAAGCTCATGGCAAAGGTATTTAAATTGTCAGATTGAATATGTTTTTTTTAAAAGCGGTGAATAGAGAAATGCATGTTTTGTTAATACAAGTATTTTACCACACTGGGCCACTAGAATGCAATGTGTCTCTTTGTCCCATTTCAGTGATGTGATGCATTTATTCATAGAGATGCTTATGAATCTGTGGCTCATATAAATAAGAGCCTAGCTTGTTCCATCTATAAGGTGTCAGAGTTGCTGAATTCTGTCTCAAAGGCAACTTTTCTGGGGATATTACTCAAAATGAACTTTACTTTGAGAAAAGAGAGATTTTTGCATTATTTACTCTCAAGAAGTTTAGAATTAAAAAATATTCCTTTCCAAGCTCTGAGAAACTTTATCTATCTTCAAGGTTAGTTCAACTTGGAGGAGGAGTTGAATGTGGCTCAGAAAATGAGCAGGAGGAAGCTCAGTAATTTCTCCTTCCAATCCTTTTCTGTGATTTTGTTACTCCACTTTCTTTCTCTGCTAATTGTTTGCCCTTCTTTCATGGAAACTGTAGTCCTAACCTCTTTAACTCCTTTCTTATCTAGAGTAGACCCTGCCCTCTTGGTGCTCTATAGTGCTTGGAAATTTGAAGGTCCTAACTACTTTTCCTTAAAGCAAATGCTTTTGTTGTTGTTTATTTATTTATTTATTTTTAATTTTTAACTTCAGTCTGATTGGGGGTTAAAAATTGCATTTTCCATTGGCTGGGGCTTCTGGGGTTTTCAAATTAGATCTATCTAAAAATGTCCTTAGTGCATTTGGGAACTCTTTCCCTATTCCACACACATCTTAAATAGCCAACTTCAAATAAGAAAAGAAACATTTGGTTGAGATTTCGTAGAACTCGTTTTTAAGATGTTGTGCTTATATTGGTAAAAATAAAGAGTAAAGGCTACAACAGAGCTGCTGCAAATAGGAACTGTTCTCTGTCCTCTTGCCACTGCACCCAAATCATAAAAGGTAGACATTTTGTAATTCCACTTCATCTATAATGTTGTCTGCTGCCTCCAAGGACAAAGGTGACAAGAATGAAAATTTGCGTTATATTTCAAGAATGCTTATGAAACATTTCACCTCTCACATTTAAGAGGGAGTATTAGAACAACAGCAAAATACAACAATAAAAGCTGCCAGACTGAAAACTTGCAGGCTGTCTGATTTCTTTGCTGATGGCAAATTCCTCTGGAATTCAATTGGGTAGATTTACAGCCATGAAAATGACTGTTAAATATGTATTGCCACGTATAGTCATACCTACGCTAGGAGAAAACAAAGTGGGCATGAGTTTAACAAATGCAGTAGTCCTACACAACAGCTGCTTGCACTCTCCTTTCTGTCAGAGGAGCACATCTGATGAGTGAAATATATGCTTCTTGCTTGCTGAAATAAAGAGCAAGTGTGAATCTCTTCAACGGGGAGTCACTTTGTCAGCAGTGAGGTGTAAGACAACAAGAAATTTTACTTATCACTTTAACCAGTGCAGGAGTGCAGGTCTCAAATCTGTGATTTATATATGTCACATG